CACCTGCAGCGGCGGAGGCGGCGTCGCCTCCGCCGCCACCCACTCCACCACAGCCGCCGAGCCTACCGGGCTGATGGCGCATTTGCCTAATGCCCGCGCCTCGAGCGTGTCGGCCTCGGCCCCGGAGCGGGCAACCGTCGGCCCCAGGTCCGCTTCTCCTCCCCTTCCCGAGGGTGCCGGGATGCTTACCGACACCCCAGGCGCCACCTCCACGACATCAGGAAGGTGGTCCAGGGGACCTCACCCTCCCTCGACCTTGTCGTCCCCGTCTGAGGCCTCCATCGACAACGACGTCGACGGGGATTCCTCCAGCGGAAGACCGTCCTTCCATTGTTGACGGCGGCGCTTATCCAGCTCCTCGCGCGCGAGGATGTGCTTCGTGCGTTTCGCCGCCTTGGCGTCCTTTCGCCTCTTCTGCGCATCGCCGTGAGCACGGTTGACCGCCCGACGCCCCGCGTCCTCGGGAACGGGCGGTGGAGAGGAGCGCACGTCCCTCATCCCCTAAAGGAACGACGAACGCACATAAGGGAACAAGGGGTAGGAGGAGACTGAGGAGGTTCAGAGGCTACAGCGGCGCATGACTTACCAGCGAAAGGAACCCCCGCGACGGCCGCATCAGGATAGGGGTCAAGTTGCCGCCCCTCTGCTTCGCCTCTACCGTCTCCCCCACCCGACGAAAAATCTCCTCCTCGGAAAGGGCGGAGGAGGACATCCGGGTGCCCTCAATGGGCTCACCCGGCTTCATCTCGAACAGCCGCCGCCGCTGAGCCATCAGCGGCAGCACCCTCTGGTGGTGGAACGCGACCACAACCATAGCCACGGTGAGGCCGTGGCCCCGCAGCCTCGCCAGCCCCTCCAGGAGTGGCTCTAGCTTGGGCTGGTCGACCTTCGGGACGCCCCACTTCCACTTCTCTGGGCAACTCCCCACAATCTGCCCGGTGTAGGGGGGAAGCCCTCCGTCGTCATTACGAAGGTAAAACCAACTCGTGTACCACCGGCGGTTGGAGGACGCGAGTTGGGCCGGGATGTAGAGGTGCAGGCGGTCCTGACGCACATGGAGAGTGCAGCCTCCGGCCCTCGCCGCCTTCCTCTTGCCCGACGTGCCCGACGGCTTTGTAGTATGCCCCGCCCAGAACAGATGGAGCCACAACTCCCAATGGGGCGCGATCCCTAAATACCCCTCGCAGACGGCAACAAAGATAGCCGCCTGAGCAACGGAGTTGGGATTAAAATTGTGGAGCTCCACGCCGTAGTAGTGCATAAGCGCCCGCATGAACCGGTCCGCCGGGACGCCGAGGCCACGCTCGTGGAAGGAGACGAAGCTTACGATGTAGCCGTCGCGAGGCCTTGGCTCCGGCTCGCCGTACGGAGCAATTCATTCCGGCCTGGCGGAGTCAGTCACCGGGCGAAGGAGCCCACCGTCGACAAGCGACTGGAGCATCTCCTCGGTGACGTCCGACGGATCCCAGGGGTCCACCTCGACGACAATGATATCACCGGCCATGGGTGCACTGGGGGAGTCAGGTGCGGCGGTGAGTCTTTTCTCTCCCTCCCACGCTTTCACTTTTTTCTCGCTTCCTCCCTAGGCTCGCTCTTCCTCCTCTCCTTCTCGGCTTTTCATTGCTCTAGCGCGACGGCTCGTGCGCGGCGGCGCCGATGCGCAGCAAGGTAAGACGAGGAGGGCAAAACTCCCGGTATTTATGCAAGGAGGAGGCGAAAGCGAATGAGCGATGAAATCGGGAGATTTCCCCCAATCTGGCGCGTTAACCACGAGCCGATTTCACCGGCCCACGCGCCCATGTCTCCCGCATTAAATGCGAGGACGGTTATGTCCCATCCACCACGCCACGCTCGGCCACTATGGCAGCAGGTACCATTTCGACTCCCAATAAAACTGCCTTAAAAGGCGCGCCACTCGCGGCCGAGCCAATAGGGAAGATATTTCCCGCGGCTGCTCCTTTTTCATAGGAAGGAACCGGCTCTGAGCCTATTACGATCCGGGGTTCAAGGTCGGACCCCAAAAGGGTTTCGACAACTGCCCGGGATAACAGAGTCGAGGCGATCATGGCGAGCCTATTCGGGGCGAGACCCAAGCGAGAGAAACGCTTGGGGCGCCCAAAGTCGTGTCCGAGACCGGCAGGAAAGTATCCGAATGGGATCCCACCGTAGGGAGGCACCGAGCCACCGAGGCCCAATGAACGGCCTCGGCACCCACTAGAGAAATCCTCTGGTACTCTTGGAGTGTGTCTCTGGACCGCTAGCCATCCCCTAACGAATGGGGTTCGGGCCTCCACTCGGACTACCCGATAACAGCTCACCGGAAGTGCCACCGCTCGTGCCCATCGAGGGTAGCGAGGCACATTCCACCCCTCCTTCCGAGCGAAAAGGAAGCGCGAGGGTCGCATAAAAAGTCAGGGGAACCCCGACAGCCTTTCTCGCCCTATGGCAGAGGCTAGGGGCTCCTCCTGCAAATATGCCGAGACCCCACGACCCGGGCTCGCGCCCAAAGGGGCCTCGGCAAACAAACCCTCACGCGCGAGGGGCGTATAAAAAGTCAGGGGAACTCCCGACGGCCCTCTCGCTCTGCGTAGAGGCTAGGGGCTCCTCCTGCGACCTTGCCGAGACCAGAATGGGCTCGGCAAACAAACCTCACGCCAGAGGGGCGTATAAAAAGTCGGGGAACTCCCGACGGCCCTCTCGCTCTGTCACAGAGGCTAGGGGCTCTTCTGCGACCTTGCCGAGACCAGAATGGGCTCGACAAGCAGAACCCTCCGTCCAAACGAAAAGGATATGTGAGGGGCGAATGAAAAAAGTCGAGAGACCCCGACCGTCCTCTTGCTCCAAAGCGGAGGCTCGGGGCTCTCTTGCACCCAAAAACCAAGACAAAAACACGATAAAGGGCACTTTGAGCCCGTTCACGGTCCAGGGGGTTCAAAGGTCAGGCCTCCAAGAGGTTTCGGCAATGACCACCCCAGAGGCAACAGAGTCGGGGGCGACTTGAGGCGAGCCTACGAATGGCCTAGGCCCGAACGAACAGTCGCTCGGGGCATCCTAAGTCGTGTCCGAGACCGACAGGAAAGTATCCGAATGGGATCCCACCGTAGGGAGGCACCGAGCCACCGAGGCCCAGCGAACGGCCTCGGCACCCACTAGAGAAATCCTCCGATACTTTTGGAGTGCGTCTCTGGACCGCTAGCCGTCCCCTAGCGAACGGGGCTCGGGCCTCCACTCGGACTACCCGATAACAGCTCACCGAAAGTGTCCACGCTCGCACCCATCGAGGGTAGCATGGCACATTCCACCCCTCCTTCCGAGCGAAAGGAAGCGTGAGGGACATACCCAACGTCAGGGGGACCCCTGATGAACCTCTCGCTCCATGCGGAGGCTAGAGGGCCTTTTTTTTGCAACCTCGCCGAGACCCCCGCAACTCGAACTTGCGCTTATGGGCTCAGCAAATGCAATAAGAACTGATCACTCAAATGCGAAAATAGAAAGCCCCACGGAGGAGTAACTTCACCCTCCAGGGGCTCAAACTACCCACCGTGCCTGCAAGCACACCCACCGGAACCTCGAAAAACAAACCAATTCCTATGGAGCGGGGCATAAACCCGGCCTCGGCGAACCCTCGGGAGAGTGCACGCACTCACCCCGAGGCTCGGGGGGCTCTTGTCGGGTACCTTAGAACAGGGTACCCCAAGCAAACATCAAAATAAAGCTAGAAGGTAAGCCGTGGGCCCCTCACCCTGCCACGACCGAGTCCTCCTCCACCTCGCCTCGAGCCTCGGCAGGAGGTCTCGGAACAAACTCCGCCTCGCCGAGGCTCCCAGGGGTAGGCCTCGGCAGGGGGCGCCGAGCCTCGGCAGGGGGCGCCGTCTCCGTCTCGCCCGAGGCTCTCCAGGGAAGGCCTCGGCAGGGGTACATTCTCCGTATCACGCGAGGCGTCTCGCGCAAGGCCTCGGCAAGGAACCTGATCTCTGTCTCGCGCGAGGCCTCATTCTCCGTGTCGCTCGAGGCCGGCTCGTCCGCGGTCCGTCGCCCCCCGCCTCGGCCGACCCTCCCGACAACTCGTCATGTCTCATTAATGCTTCAACCACTCCCGCAATCTCACCCGGACGGTGGCTCAACGCCACAAGATGGCCGACGCGACCCGAGGTCGCATCAGCATCTATCCTCGCCGTGACGAGCACGACGGAATTACCGCCATCGTGTCCTACCACTGTGTCCACGATCAGCGCCATACCGGCCGGGACAGGGCACGACGGGGATTACCGGCCACTGTGTCCTACCACTGTGTCCACGATCAGCGCCATACCGGCTGGGACAGGGTACGATGGGGATTACCGACCACTGTGTCCAAACGTTGTACCCACGATCGGTGCAAGGAATACAAGATCGATCTCTCAGACTAGACGTAGGGCCTCGATTGCCCGAGCCAGTATAAACCTTGTGTCTCTTTGCATCACCATCCGGAATCGGGAGCACGCAGAACAAATTCACTAGTTGGTTGAGGACCCCCCGGTCCGAAACACCGACACATAGTTTATATACCAATGTTTTATCATGTCATGAATAGATACTTATTTTCGCTGTAATTCTGATCATATGTTTATATTCCGCTGTTATATTAAATTGTTCATGACTCTTATAACATGATTATATTCCGCTGTTATAATAATAAATATTATACTCTGGTGTTGCAAGAAAAGTGATGTAAGAAATGGTTAATAATGATGTAAGCTTTATTCTCTCATTTGTGATCCTGATGAAAAAAAATATGGATTTTCGGGTTCTCCCTTGTGGTGTGCCCGACGGTACTGCGTAATTTGGTGTCCTTCCTTAAGTAAGTAGTGTCTAGTGGAACACAAGTACTCCTGGAGGCATCCGGTTGTGCCACATATGATGTTTTAAAAAAAAGTTAGAAATGATTTACTAGACATAATAGATAACATGTGACTAAGGGAAAGTATATAAACAATTATAACGACCATAATTTTTCATGCCTATAGCATATCACAAGGAACAAGACTCATTTTTCTATAATATTTTTCAAAAGAAACAAGAATACAAACAATTTTAGGCCCCGTTTGGCACGGCTCGCGCCGGCTCCGGCTTATCTGGCAGAACACTGTAGCAAACACTGTAGCACGAAGACGGTTTTCGCTCTCCTACTTTTCTGTCTCACTGTAGCACGTGCACTGTAGCGCGCGGGGGGAAGCCAGAAAACCCGGCTTCTCCGGCTTTGATGAACAGTGCCGATGTCAGTGAGAGGGGGAGGCGAGGAGAGAGAAAACCGGCTTCGCGCTACAGTGCCAAGTCGGATAAGCCGAAGCCGGCGCGAGCCGTGCCAAACGGGGCCTTATCTGCCAGGTCAAGCGCAACCCGACAGCCATCGAAAACTCCGGTGTAGCCCAAGAACCAAGTGAGCAATCCGTGCAACAAGGTGTGCGGCCGGGGAGGGGCCATGGCAACTGAGGCGAGGAGGTGCGCGGCCGGGGAGGGGCCATGGCCGGTGCGCGGCCACGGAGGGGCCATGGCCAGGGAGGTATGCGGCCACAGAGAGGACCTGGAGAGCGCGGCCGGGGAGGGGCCATGGCCGCTGCTGATGACGCACTCCCCCCTGGGCCAGGGCAACGTCTCCAGCCACACGTGCCGCACGGCCCCGGTCCTGACGTCGCACTCGCACAGGAAGCCTTTGTCATCGGCGGTGAGGCCAATGACCGATGAGCCAAGCTCCGGGACGTGGAGCCCGCGGCCCTGGAATGGCAGCTGCCACGTCCCCTCCGTCCGCCACGTCGCGCTGTGCTCGTCGGCGGCGTCCAGGGAGAATGTGCCCTTGCCGGTGACGGAGATCCACACGCGCGTGCCCACTGCACAGTACGCCGAGACGAACGCGAGCTCGTTTTCGGCCAGGCGCCCCACGGGGGGCTTCGGGAGCGGGACGGCGTGCCAGCTGCACCCGCCGGGGAGCAGCCGGAGCTTCTCGAAGCCGTAGATGCCGTCGAAGAGGATGGTGTCCATCCTGATGACGGTGCCGGCGGCGGCGGCGTCTCCCGGCACCAACAGGGGGAGCATGGCGGGCGCGTCCCTGTAGCTGCCGAACGCGCGTGGCGAGCCGAAGCGGCGGCCCTTGGGCCACCACCGGACGAGGCGGCCCTCGGCGTCGCGCATCCGCGGGCTCGCCTGCCGCTCCCAGAAACCGTAGCCGCCGACCTGCATCACCGTGTCGTGGAACACGGTGTCCCAGAAGTCGTAGGAGGCGCCCAGGACGGCGCCGCCCGAAGCGGCGAAGGCGCGGCAGCCGGTCGGCGAGGGGAAGAGCGCGACGGGCTGCGGGGAGCAGGCCGCCGCCACCATCTTGATCTCCTCCTCGTCATCGGCGACCAGCAGGTCGTACACGAGGTGGCCCTCCTCCTCGTCGTGCACCACCAGAAGCGGCCGGTCGGCGACCATCGGAGTCGGACCGCAGCAGCCACGTGCGTAGCAATGTCTCTCGCCGCGCGCAGCCAGGGTTGCGATTTATAGTGCGTGCTGCCTGCCCACCGACCAGATCTCGGAATCCTAGCTTTTGACGTGTTCTTCGGGAAAAAAAAATTGGGTGCGCACGGCCGGTTGAGCCCATCGCCCACCTAATTTATTTTCCTGTTCTTCTCGGATACGGCTGCTGGAAAATCTATGGCTTCCGCCTCCTAGCCCTTTGTTGTCATGTAATTTTGGTCTAAAAAAGGCCTAAAAGTATATAATCTCACCGTGATTAAAAGCAATATATCTCAACTCTCTTCTCTACATCTAAAAAGATTCTAAAGTAATCATCTATCGGTGATACCAAATATATCCCGACTCCATTTCGGCTCCCCTTCTGTGTCGTTCTGCGTTCAAAAGCAACGGATACGAAGTCCAGATCTGACAGGAACTCCTTCTTAGGAAGACTCGATCCGATGAACTCTTTACGTGTCCGATTTCAACGTCATTGTGTCCACGTGTGCAAATCTGTTATTATTTTTACACCTTCATCCAATCGTGCGTGCGCCCAAAAACTCCAATGAGTACGTGCGCACCGAAACCGAGTCTCATACCGTGTGTTCGTGCAACTCCTCCGCAGACGTCTGGACTACGGCGCACGAGCAATAGCTTGGACCCATCGTCCACAGAAATTTATCCCTGTCCGATTAGGAGTACGTGACGTGGGAAATAAAGGAAACACCAATTTACCCTTTGTTACCCAAACCAGATTCTACATGGCTCTTCTTTACTTTTGTAGACGATTTTCAAATTAAGAATCTATAATGATATAAATATAATTTACAAAAAAAATGAAATTAAAATTAGAAAAAATGAGAGGGATAAACTCCCTCCATAAAAAATAAATTAAACTCCTAAAAAACAAATAAATTGGATTTAGTTAAATATTTTTCTTTTCAATTTTGTACTGTTGTAGAAGATTATTTAGTTGTTTTATCACACACAGACAAATAGTATGTCCAACTAAAAGAAGTTCACCTTAGGATCTTGTAGTAGTAGACGGTTGTGATGAACAGGGTTGCTACACTACGAATTAGATTGTTATGATTTCAGGTGATCATGTTAAAACTTGAATTATGTTCTAATTGAACATGAATCTCAAAAGGACGGATCTAGCTACAAATGTAATGTTGCAAGTAGTTTTTTTATAATAATAGTATAACACACGGTTACATATAAATTATAACGATATTATTTTCCCGTGCAACGCACGGGCACGATTCTAGTATATATATATATATATATATATAATTTTCAAATAAGATGTTCAAATTAAATTTTGATTGCACCATTAGATTTTTTTATTGAGATCTTCAAAATAATACCACACTTGACCATGTTTTGAAGGAATTTTTTTGAATATTTTTTAAACGCTAGGATAATTTTTTGTGACCCGGGAACAATAGTTTCAATTTAATAATAAAATTGTTCTGCCTCCAGGAAAAAAATGTTCTGCATAGAAAATTATCCAAATGCGGTCTTGTTTTGAAGATCGATCATAAGTGCAATCAAAATTTGATTTAGATACTTAGTTTAAAAACTATGACATTTTTCTTCAACATTTTTTTTTTGTTTACTAGTGAAAATGCACGTGCGACACTTTGGATATCAAAAGAAAACTCTACTTTGAAACAATAGGATAATACCCTGATTTAGAATCAACTACCAAGCTGCTATACAATAGGCTACAGCTACATTACAAACTCCTGATGCATGAAGTACATAAACATTTTAGTTAAGCTAATATCCCCATCTATCACATCAAACCACTTGCAGAGCTTGTGATTGAAGTATGTTGACACTTGACAGTGTAGCTTGCCTACCCTCTTACCATCATCAAAATCTGTCTTCCTTGTGTTCTTGGATGCTTAGTATAATCTCACCATCTTCCCATTCCCCTCCTACTACTCCTCACATCCTCATAATATAAAATAAAGATTGTCAAAGAAACCTTACTAAATTTTTGATTTACTGAAAGAAACTTTAGAAGCTTGGAAGTTACCAAAAAGGCTTGTACTCAAAGCTGTTTTTTTCGATCAGTGTTTGCTCACTAAAATTACTTTTATTAGCCCATAGTAAAAAAAAAAGAACTATAATATGTAGGATAGTATATAGAATAGAACAATATCATATCTAGCCTATGAAGATTAGCAGTAAAAGGAGAGTATAAAGTTGGAAATTCTTCCTATGAAAACCTCCATTGCCAATGCGTGAATTGCAATCTTTGTTGAGTATTACACCCGATTGCATTATGGATATCAATTTGCCATTCAACTGAACCTTCCTCCAATAGGGATTATTGTTGCACCATTTTAATTGGAATTTTCTTCCATCATGGAGTAGTTCTCCTTCCCCTATTGCTTTGTAAAACTTATTCTTAAGTTGGTCAGCAAGTTCTTTGATGGCTCAGTGCAATATATCAGGTGGGGACGTCTCTTCCCCTCCGTTTTTCTGTCAAAAAAGTGGAAAGATAAAGTAATTTGTTTTACAGTTTTTAATCTGAGAGTCTACTCCATTGACTATATCGGAGCGTAATTAAAGAAAAAATTTACCATCTTATCCCCATTGCCGTCAAAAGCAATGTTGTTGGCCCAAGGAGCATCACCCGTCAATATCATTTGTTCATGACAATTAACCGAATGAAATAAACTCAACTAAAGATCTTGATAACCCATCTAAATCCCTCACAAGCAACATTAGACAAGGGAGGGAGAGCCCTCTATGGTTCACTTCCGCATTTGGGGTTTCAGTTGAACTGACAAAAATCGGTATTCAGTTTTCTCTCTGCTGAAGAATAAAAAACAGGTAGGGGCTCCCCCGCCGGCAGATCTTTTGCCGTGTAAAATAATGTTTTACAACCTTGCTAAGACATACACTAAGACAAACATACTGAAGAATGTTACTGTTAATTTGATTAGATGAAATCATAAAATTGGTGTGTAGATTTTTATTATTTCTTGAAACTCCACATATAGCATTAAACAAAGTTCAACAACAATAATAATATAATAGTAGATAAATAAATTTTGGATGCAACTGAACAGATTATTAGTTACCTGGCACAAATCTTGTCGAAGTAGATAACAAAACCTGCAGGAGACAAGAAGCACCAAAATGTCGATCGTGGCAATCATCATCAGCTATAATCAAATCAACTCGTGGAAACCTGCTGCGAGATGTCAATTTACAGCATGAGTTACTTGCTGCTGAGCCCCGCCTTCGGCCTCCCTCAGCAGGTCAACAACAATCAGCGCCTGCGTCACTCCGTCCTATCCGCCGTCGGCTGCATCGCGCACCAACACCATCCAAATCCAGTAATAGAACACAGTACCAGTGTGTGCGCGAAAGCCAGGAGGGAGGGGTTGTGAACCGGAGAAGAACGTACCGGCGATGGAGTAGTCGTCCTCGGTGCGCCGAAGAGGAAGCAGTCGGCCTGCAGACCTTGGCGTGGAAGATCTCGACGGCGGGCGGGAAGCCGATGCCGCCGCCGGTCGAGGTCGGTGTTGATAATGGGCCGGTCGACGACACGGAGCCCTGCGATGGAGTCCTTACACACAACACACCTCCGTGGTGCTGCCGGTGACGAGCCCGCTAGGCGCTTCCCCGCCTGACGGCCCGTCGTCCATCGCGCCGGCAACTGTGGTGTCCCCGGCGCCCCCGCGAGGGCATGCGCGTCCGGGACTATGGTGCGTCGCGAATTCTGCGAGTGGGTAGCGGGAGAGGGGGCGGGGTGGAGGAGGAGATCTGTACTGCGTGATTGAGGGGCTACGGTTACAGAGAGAGAGAGAGAGGCGTGGGTCGGGAAGGGAGGGTGGGTACGTGGCGGAGCGACGCGGCGGTTTCCTTCGGCCTCTGCCTTCGCCCAGGCATCGCCACCAGCAACGGAGACAAGGAAGGGAGGAGGGCGGGTACGCTCGTCGTAGGTGAAAAAAAATGCCGACCAAGGCGTGGTGGATACGGGAGATGAGGCGAAACACGCTGTCACATAAGTATCGTCCCTCCGCGGTCCACCCGTCACTTGTACCTTAACCGTTGGATGGAAAATCAAGACAGATCCAACGGAGGAGATCTTGGGTGGGTAGGAGATTTTCAGGTAACATGTATTTTGTAATTCATTCGCTCCTTTATAGTATAGATAGATACGGATTCCTAGATGTGGGCCTATGGGTGGGCGGTGGGTGGACAACGAGTGAATACAACTTTCTTTTTCTCCGACTTGTTTGAAACCCACCTTCAAGTCAATTTCAACGAGCCAAGCAAAAAATAAGTGCAATTGAAGTAATTTTAAAATGAGCCACAAGCCTGCTCAATGAGCTTTTTGTCCGGCCCTACTGGTGAAAGACCGCCTAGGCAATATATAACCCCCTCCCCTGCACAAGCCCATCGCAATCCGCCCCACTGCTCATTTACTATTGCGGCGAGGGCATCACCGTCGGTTTTGGGGGTCAGCAGTGGTAAGTCGGTGGTGATGGGACCCCCCCCCCCAAAAAAAAAGCCCTCATCACCGACGGTTTTGAACCGGCGGTGACACTCCCCTCTCCCTCCCCCTACACACCACCATCACCGTAATTGTTTCATGGGCCGGCGGTGATGGGCCACCTATTCAACAAGGTAGGAATTAAATAAGTGGGTAGAAAACAACCTTCGAGTTAGTTGATGTTGTGGAACCTTCAAATTTGGGGCTCTCCTTGATCAATTGGGTGAAAAGAACCTCTAAAATGAAAGAAAAAGCTTTTTCCATCAAATTGATCGACCAACCCAAAATAAAATTTAGCCAATAAAATAAGTTGGAAATTGAATGGGCTGATAGTTACCAACCTTAGAATAAGGGAGTGATAGGTATTTTTCAAAAAAATGGGAGCCTTCATGTGCAATTGGGTGAAAAACAGCGGTAGTAATGGTGAAAAAATGGTTCAATTTTGGGTAGAAAA